AAATATATTAAAAAAAAAGCATCATGTTAGAGATCATTTAAATATCCAGATAGAGTGAATAATGCTACAACTTTCCATTACGCACGCGCGCGCACACACGCACACACACATATATACACACATCTATAACAATAAAAGTGTAATATGCTACTTAGACCGGACATTTTTCCGGATGTCCTTCCAGACAAAGCTGCAGCAGGCAGGGGCCGAGGCAGAGGTGGCAGAGGCTCCCAGCCGCAGCGGTGGTGGGCGGGGGCCGGGGCCAAGGCCCTTGCATGAATTTTGTGCATCGGGCCTCTAGTATATATACTATGGCATATTACATATATAAAATATTCATGTCCTTATTGTTTTTAACAGCAGACAACTACTCAATTTGTTCACCGTTATATTCTGAAGCCTGGGGAACAGGTCTGCTGCACAATATATTTCAGGAAGTGCCATTACTACTGAAAGCGCGTGTTTTAAGGCTCTGAGTACATACTGGTACCATCTTTGCTTCAATGGAGCAGCGACTTCCAGGCCTCCTGGCCTTCCGGAACGTGGGAAGGGCGCTCAGTCTTACCTCCCCGCCCGCAGACCTGCAGTAACATCAACGACCAAAAACCAGGGCTGCTGTTTCAGCTACTTCACATCATTTTTGCTGTTAGAGCTGAATGCTTTCCAGGCTCACTTAAACATACTTTGCCAATTACCCACTGAGCTAATCTTTCTGAACAAGTTATACACATGCAACACATTGTACTGATGCTATTAGTTTTGTGATACATAAACTTTTTCAATACAGTCAAAGCTTAGTGATTTCTTCAACGACTTTTTAGCTTATCATCTCTTTCCTCATCAAACCTCAGAAAGACAGTCCCTCCCACAATCTATTGGACTTGAGCTCTTCACAGACATGAATTTCCTTTAGGGTTCTCGAGGCGAGACTACGAAGTCATTTCTTCCTTCCAAACAGCGAAACAACTGCCTCTTACACCATTTGCCGAGTAATTCCACGTGTCCTGGAAGGTGTGGGCACTTTATGATACAATCATAGCTTCACGGGGTCTTCGCAGGACCTATTACCACAAACACTCACTGGTTGCGGGTAAAACACAGAAAACCTCGTGAATCTCCGACTGTATCTAGAATGTGGCCGCCTGACTGAGTCCTCCGATGAATTCCTAGGGCCTTTGTTGTTAACTCTCCTGGGCTTCGAGATAGAAATCGTCCTCTGAGAACAGCAGCCACTTCGCCGCCTCTCTGTGCAGCCATCACTGTTAATCCGGTGTCCACGTGCATGACGGTGCTATAAACCCACCTCTTACTCCTCGTTTTCTGAGAGTGGGTGCTTGCAAGGCATACAGGGGTGGGCAGAAGTAGGTTACAGTGCCCTGCAACGTTCTTTGGAGTTAGTGACGCTCCTGTAGCCATCACACCCTCAGGTCTGTTTCCATACGAACTGTAACCTCCTGGTGCCCACCCGCCGTGTGCACCTTTATCAGTAATTCAGCAGACAGTTACCGAGCACCTACTATGCGCTGATGCTACAGGAAGGCCAAGGACACTGTATGCCCTTCGCGGGTCTACTTCAGACCCCAGTAACGTGCATGCAGTGAGGGGACGCGGCATCCAGTCCTGTGCTGGCTCTCCTGCCCCCCAGGCCTCTACGGAGCTGCCCGTGACCTTCCTCGTTTCTTACTGAATCCGTCCCCCAAACCCGGGATGACTCCCGGAAACAACTTACCTTCGCCCTCAGGACACTAGACGCTAGGTCACTGGCCTCCGGGACACGGTAAACACCTGTCCAGCCGCCTCCTGGGCCCACTGAGGCTTCGGGGAATTCCTCACGCCTGTCCCCACTGCCCCCCGGCACTCAGAGACCCTGAGTGGCTCCCATTAGCCCTGCCAACCTCCTCCTGCTCCGCCTCCACCCAGGGATCCTCCGCAAACAAGGACAGACGTCACTGACGGGGAAACAGACTCTGAGTTTTGAGGGGAAATGATTAGAAAAAGCTTGACAAGTTTTGCTTTACCTCAGGCCAGGTACGTCCTAGGCCAGCGATGGCGAACCTTTGGAGCTCGGCGTGTCAGCATCTTGAAAAACCCTAACTTAACGCTGGTGCCGTGTCACATATAGAAATTTTTTGATTTGCAACCATATAGTAAAACAAAGATTTATATTTTTGATATTTATTTTATATATTTAAATGCCATTTAAAAAAGAAAAATCAACCAAAAAAAAAATGAGTTCGCGTGTCATAGGTTCGCCATCACTGCTCTA